GAGAGAGAGAGAGAGAGAGAGAGAGAGAGAGAGAGAGAGAGAGAGATAGATAGATAGATAGATAGATAGATAGAGATAGATACAGAGAGAGAAACAGAGAGAGCGAGAGAGAGAGCGAGAGAGAGAGCGAGAGAGAGAGAGCAAGAGAGAGACAGAGAGAGACAGAGAGAGACAGAGATAGGGGGAGAGAGGGGGAGAGAGGGTGCGATCGCTCCAAGGCGTTCCACTGCTCGATGTGTCAATTTGTGATGAAAACGTTGCCCCGAGGGTGTGGTCGATTCCACCAAAACGTATTCTCTGGGATCGTGCCGCCTACCCCACCCTCTCGTGTTTGCGCACACTCCAGGAGGCGTTTTCCAGTATCACCGTGTCCTGGACCCACGATGCCGGTGTCCGTTGGTCCGGCATCATGCCCCTTGCCAGACAGCGCCAGGACCTGCTTGCCTGGTTGACGGACGACTTCCCGGGTGCTGCTGCCGTTCCCGCTCCCCAATTGCTTGCGGCGGATCCTCTCTCGACGCGCGCGAGCGAAAGCGGACGGGTGCGGGCGGTCCGAGACTGGACCCTTGCCTCACGCCCAGGAGTGGTGCGGGGATAAGACGCAACCCGGAGTAGGGCGCGCATGTATTTCGCCAGGGCGCCGGAATGGGCGGCCATCGGGGAAGCAAATGCTGCTGCAGCGGCAGGGCCAGCTAGTATACCCAAGCAACAGGAGGAGGTCGTGCCTTTGGCAGGGACACAGATGCCCTCTGCACAGCAGGTTTGTGTGTGAAGCACATCGTGTTTTCGGTCAAGTAGGATAGAGTAATCCCCGTCTTTGGCGGGTCAACGTTCCGAGAGCTTGAAACGGGCGCCCGTAGCATTGTTGAGTGGTGTTAGCCGATGGCCGGTTGTTCCTTCTCTCCCTACTCGATTCTCACCTGTGCTTGTACCAATCTCATCATCGCGATCCTCGCTTCCCGGTATATTGCAGTCACCAGCACGAGCAGCACCAGTGGTGACAAGGGAATCCGCACGGGCCTCGGGTAGGTCTAGCCCGTCGCCGAAGCCCCCCCCTACGGTCACCCTACTGTCCCGCGGGCGCGCGTCGGCAGCCGCAGTCATCACGAATGGGGTAGGCGCCGACGCACCTGGCTTGGAGGAAGCTAACGGTGTACCGATCATCACGGCGGCAGCCGCAGCGGGGCCTCCCGCTCGTGCGAGTGGTCTGAGGGCTCCGCGTGTTGGCCAGGCTAGTGCTGGTGCTACTGCTGGTGGTGCTCCCGCTGCTGCTGGGGCGGCGGGGTGGCTTTCACCATAGAGAGTGGCGAAGTCGTGCTTCCCGTCGAGCTGCGGAGTACCTCTGTGCACCAGGTTTGTTTGTGCTGTACTATCGAAGTGGCGTCCTCGATCAATATCCCAGGCGAACGGCCTTCTTGTACAACCCATGGGACAACGTTTGAAGACCTTGAAACGGGCGCCGTTCGTACTGTTGAGAGCAATTTCGCCGCCGATGGTCGAGTGTTCCTTCAATCTCTCCGTTCTCACTTGCACTCGCGTCAATCTCATCATCGCGTCCTCGTTTCCCGGCATGTTGCAGTCGGCGGCACCAGCAGCACCAGCGACCGCACGGGACTACGCTCGGGTCTCGGTTAGGTCTAGCCCGTCGCCGAAGCCCCCCCCTACGGCCACCCTGCCGTCCCGCGGGCGCGTGTCGACAGCCGCAGTCGCGACGAATGCGGTAGGTGCCAGAGGACTTGGCTTGGAGGAAACCATAGGTGAACCGACGACCTGGGTGGCAGCCGCAGCGGGACCTTCTGTTCGCCAGGCTAGTTCTGGTGCTGCTGCTGGTGGTGCTCCCGCTGCTAATGGGGCGGTGTCGAGGCCAGGGGCGGCTTTCACGATGGAGACTGGCGAAGTCGTGCTTCCCGTCGAGCTGCGGAGCATCTCTGTGCACCAGGTTAGTTTGTGCTATACTATCGAAGTGGCGTCCTCGATCAATCTCCCAGGTGAACGGCCATCTCGCACAACCCATGGGGCAACATTTGAGACCTTGGATCGGGCGCCGGTAGCACTGTTGAGATGGAATTCGCCGCCGATGGTCGAGTGTTCCTTCAATCTCTCCGTTCTCACTTGCACTCGCGTCAATCTCACCATCGCGTCCTCGTTCACCGGAATTTTGCAGTCGGCGGCACCAGCAGGACCAGCGGCGGCGGCGGCGGCGGTGGCGGTTGTCGCTGGGCTTGCGGTGGCGAGCGATGGGAGTGCTGCCTCTACCCGCTCATCGGCGCTGGAGGTATCGCCGGAGACCGCCGCAAGAAGGCGTGGCAGGCACGGAAGGCGGCCAGGTCGGTTTCCGCAGATTTTTCGGAGCAGCCCAGTCGGCGTCAAGGGAAGCGCCAGGCGAAGCGCCAAGAAAAGCGCCGGGCGAAAGCCGGCAGAGACAGGCCATCGGCTACTGTCCAACCCGGTGCCGAACACGGCAACTCCCCGACAACCGCGACTGTTGCTAGTGGTGGTAGTGGAAACGCGGTAACTACCGCTGTGGCAAGCAAGACGCTTAGCCGGCCCACCGGACGCCCGGAGGACCTCGCCATTTCGGCCTTGAACAGAGCCAGGAGGCCAGGGGGCGCGAGAGGAGCGACCAAGGGTCAAAGGTCCTCGAACAAGAACGCTGCCGGGTTTGACAACGGGGGGGGCTCGGGCGCGAAGGTACACGACCGATTTGTACCGTGAAGGCGAACGATCGCGATATCGTAACGCTTGATGGCTTGCATCACTCCGGCTGATAAGTCTTGGTCGATACCGCACGGAACTGCAGGTCTCGTTCGAAACGAAAATCAGTGCCCCCAGGGCGATGTCAACGTTGGTTTGCGTTCAGTGAAAGGCATAGTAGAGATGTGTCCCTTGGGGAGGCTTGTTGGTTCTCCCTTCCGTGGTATATCGTCCGGTTGGCGCTCATCACGGCTACTTGTAGTCTCGTAATATGCGCTTCAGCGTGCTATTTCGCGCTGCGATGTCAACCTCTTGGGGATTCAAGACAGTGGAAATATTGTCGCGAAATGTTTTTCGAACTTGTCTGATGAACATTTTTCGGCAACCGCTCATCGTACAAGTACTTGGTACGGTTTGTGATGTTCTGAAAGAAACAACACGGCTAGATCGACACAAAATCAGGACGAACAAGGTGCACCTTCCTCAGGGTGGAATATTGTGCTGGTCTACGCTCGGTTGTGCCCCTGTGAGTATTTCATAATTGTTCCGTTTATCCACAACCCCTTGTGCTCGCCTACGTTCTGCACGGATAGGGATGCGTGATCGAGGAGGACATCCCGCGGGAGGAACAGAGTATGCTGTACTGGAAACAGCAGCAGCAGCAGCAGCAGCGGCAGCAGCAGCAGCCGAAGGAGGGGTTCGTACAGGGGGCGGCCTCTCCCGAGCCGCACGCTCGCCAAGAGGCGGAGGGAGGCGTTACGGTCCGCAAGCTCACGCTGCAGGAGGGGAGGGAGGAGAACGAGGGGGCGGAGAAGAAGGAGGAGGAAACAAAGGAGAAGGGGGAAAAGAACGGGAAGGAAGAGGAGACAGAGAGGGTGAATGCCAGGCCTGCCTCGCCTCAGGCATCCTCCGGTGCTCCCGACCAAGGAGCGATCCACGCTGCCGCCTCAACTGATTCCGAGGGAAGATGCTACGACAAGGAGGTATGTAGGAGAAAGAGCGGCATCGGCGTTCTCAGAGTTTAAACGCAACCCCCCGAAATATTTCACGCGCGCTGATAGGTTACACATTGTTCGGTGATTCCCGCTGTCTCTTGCAAGTGCAGGTCGGAGACAATTCCGGACATCTCATTGTACTGCGCCCTACCTGCGCGTCCCCGCTCAAGGGCAAATTGCACATACCCCCCCCTCTCAATGCTTCATTTGTTACTTGAATATGTGAGGGTCACTCTAGTAGGTAGTCGCGGTGCCTGCCGCTTTTAGCAAGCGACGTGAGCTTGCTCCCCAATCTGAGACTCATCTTGTTAGCATGTAACCCTTGCCCTCTTTCAGGTAGCGTTGTCAAAGAAGCTGCTGTCCTTCAAGGAAGCAGAGTCGTTCTTGGCCTTGAAAGTGCCTGGTGTCGAGTGTGTGTACTCTATGGGCCAGACCATAGGCATCTCGATCCGAGGGGACGGCAACTGTTTCTGGACGTCTTGCTGCCTTGCGGTGCTGCTGTAGGCCTTGGGCCGAAGCTGCTCACAACAGCTTCAAGACCTCCTTGCCCGTTTCAGGGCTATTCGCCGGGATAGCCGTGCGCACGATGCGCTGTCGCTCGACATGAAGGTGTGCTCTGAGTCTTATCGCAGTACGCATGAAGTTTAAGTTTGCATATTGGTGGGCCCGTTGGGCGGTTCGCCTAGCGTACTTTTCAGCTCTCTCTTTCCTCCGTCCAACTAGTCCCAGCAGGATGGAAGTCTGACTTAGCATCGTCCTTGCAGAGCATTGTGGCGACGGACGGCAGCATCGTGCAAGTATCTTGTTATGAGTGACGGAATTTCTTTTGCATTGTGACATTGACCGTTGACATCGGGTTCCGTAATGCGGAACAGCATTTGATCAGTTCTTCAGGGAGCTGCTTGTATGGTTCGTTTGTTAACATTTCTCCCCCGTGCATCGTTTAGGTGGGTATTCTTCGCATTTTGACTCACCTCACCTCCGCACACTACACTTGTGTCCGATAGTACATGAACCGCCGTCACGGGTCGGCTCAGTATTCGCCCACAACAGGCTGGTGGGACTGAAAAGATGATACTTTTCACCTGTGCATATTGTGAACCTTTTCACCTGTGGATGATGGTATTTGGCTGACGTGGGAATGTCGAGGTACGTCCACACGAGGGAAGAAGTTGATAGCATCGCGTACCCAGTTTCTCGCACTCGCTGCCCAAAGTGAGCGAATCGATGACTTCCCGATGTTCGTGTGTTTGGATACGGACTGGTCAGATCTACCGGCAACAACAGAGGGCACGCAGTTGAGGCATATGTACACCTTGAAATGGTTGCATGTGCGGGGATCCCTCGAACTCCAAAGAGGGCTTCACTTCTCCCTACTCCCCTTGCGTGTCTAATACAAGAGATAAAACGTCTTCCCCTTCCAAGTAAAGGACATACTTCGAACACATTCGTGTCAGTCCCTCGAGGGAGAGTCCATTGGGAATGTCAGGTCGCAAAGATGGGGGTGACTCCTCCAGCGACTCTGCGGCGGAAGACAGAAAGAAGTCAAGAGAAGAGCTAGTGGCCCTGAGGACCGCAAGTTAGCTCGCTGACGGATCAGATGAGCCAGCGAATGTCGCTAGTGGAAGATACCATGAAGGCAAGCAAGAAGGAGGAGCCAGCTGGCACCATGGAGGGTGCCGCTGATCGCGGCGATGCTAGGGAGAGCGCCGCCGCACAGACGTTGCTCCAATAGGAAAAAGTTGGAAAAGTACGACGAAAAGCAGACCAGGTACCAGTGACAATAAAATAGCACCCGCGGAGCCCCCCCACGGGCACGTGACCAACGGTCAAATCACCAGCACGTTCAGCACGACGGCGCGCGACGCTCAGCGGAAGGACAGAGACCAAACTGCGCGAGAAGCTCAAGGAAGTCACAATACTACACGTGTGAGTGATTAATGACGGTGTATTGTACCTTGGGTGACTGAGATTCGAGTCGTTGGCCTGAGGCAGACTGCGGCCTGTTTTACGAGCCACGGTTCCGCCGCTTCGGGAGACGAACTTTGACGCCCAGTTGCGGAGCGTGAGGTACAAAAAATGAACCAGCGCTCGGAGGGCTCAAGCATTTGATAAGCACAGGCCTGAAAAATCGATTATAGAATTTGGGATCTGGTCTGTGGATTCCGATACAGACCTTCCCGATATGGTGCGTCAAAACGCGGTGGAACCTCATAAAACGGCGCAGTAGCTGCGCCCGGTCGTGAGTCCCTGCTGCCGCTACAGTCGCATCTGTCTCGAAATGATGTTCTGTAGTCCTTGCCACTCTTCCACCTAGTCTTGGTTTTGTCAACAGACTTTTTTATTTGTTGTTCACGAAATCTGGACAGGTTTTTATCCGATGTCGGCAACTGGAAACCGCTGTACCGCGTGCCTTAGAGGAGAAGGAGAAGATTGTGCCTTGCAGCACATGAGGCCCAGGACCAGCAGCCAATCCGGGCGTTCGTAGACGAGATTGGCATTGCAAACCAGTTTCCTGCCTTGGACGAGGGGGGGTTAGGTGCGAGCACCCTCACACTGTGCAAGCGTTCTGGTTTCTTGCTGCAATTGTACAAAAAACACGAGCAAAGGATGAGCAAGGAGCGGAGTAAGACCGGAGAGCACGTAAGGCAGTGCAGACGCCGCGCCATGCCACGGGTATGTGGACTGTACCTGAACCACAAACGCACCTGAAGCGACGGTGGCTTGATAGGTACTGCACTTCACCCGAGGCGGTGGAAGCTTTACTGGGTACTGTGTCTATCACAGGATGTATTTTGACATGTGCGGCGGGCCCACGGACGCCGTGGCGACCCGTCTTCGGCCAACGTGTGAGGTCCTCACGAACGACGCGAGCTCGGGGTAAGAACGGTGTGTGAGGTTATCTGAAAGTAGCCCAGCAACTAAAATCTCTGCACATGCTAATTCATTTCACGTAAGGGGAGCTATCTTTTCGAACATGCATGTGGCCATTGTATACCCAGTGGGTGTCTTTGGTGAAAGCAAGACTATCACTTTTGTACAAACGGTATTTTTTCCAAATGAGGTGCGCGATCGCTGAAATTTCTTTTGACTGCTGTTCTCGATGCCAGGCGTCCCGCGGATACCAACCTTGACGCCAGCTTGGAGTCCTTCCCGGACGACTTTGTCGCAGCTTCCTCGGGGAAGAGGCCTGACTGGGTGGTGACGAGCCCTCCGTACAAGAGTGCTCTTACTTTTGTCAAGGCCGCGATGTCGTTGGCTACGAGAGGCGTGGCGGTCAAACTGCCCCTTTCTTTTCTGGAACCCTGCGCCGACCGGGGTGGTTGGCTTCAAACGAATCCCCCATCTGTGTGCGTCTTTCTACGGAGCGCCAAATACACACGTGTGAACAAATTTAAGATGGGCGAATTCTGGGGTTTGTGGTATACTCAGGACATTCGCTGCGACACCACGACGAGGCTTGTCTTCTATTCTGAATAGCATGGCTGCGATTTCGAGCACAGGATAGTCGGATGTGCAAGTTTAGCGTGTGACATTGTTTGGTTCGAGCCGGGTAATAAACAAGGCGAAACGTTCCTTCCGAGTTTCTTAAAAAAGGAACATTGGTTGTCGGAGGAGATGCCTCTAACACGGCTATGTGGGGGATGGGGCATAATCGGATAGTGTAATGACTCGAGCCCGATCGAAGCTGCCAGCGCGTGCACGAAAATTGGTACTGAGGTGCTCCCTTTTCTATTGCCGTGGTCTCGGCATGAAGAAGGAATTGCTTGGCACCCGTGTTCCTAGAGTAAAAACAAACAAAAACGAGGTGTATGGGGTGGACGATGAAAGAGTGGCTGAGTTCCTTGAAGTGAAGCAATTGCCAGCACCTGTGACACCGCTCATGGTGAAACTTTACCATGTACCAATGCAACCTCACAACAATATTTTGCTAACCGATACACGAAAAGCAAACCGACGTCTCAAATTGACCTTTCATTAGTCTCAGTACGCGAAGGTACCGAGGTACGCATATCACCAGGCTGCAGATTCAACTGTGGTCCTACATGGTAGTGCGAAGCGTATCCCTCTATTTGCTCGTTCTCATGAACGTCATCCTCCAGGAAACTACAAGGACCTAAAACCACGCCGCCGGTCCCCAACTCCGCTTCCCCGTTCGAACAACCAAACATACCCGGCAAAGGTTCCTCATCGCTGTCGCTGTTGCTGTCACTATCTGAAACCACCTGCCCTTCCTGTGCTAAACAATCTTCCCGCATCTCATTTTCTTCCGTCTCTTCCTCGCGGCATGTGAGCTTGCACTTGCACAACTCTGAGCATTGACCGAAACCTTTAGTGGTGCAAACGCAGCTCGTGCAGTGACCGCCTCGCTTCCTCTTCCCAGATGAACACATGCACCTCACCGTTTCAAACCCACCCGGCCAGATGGTCACCTTAGGAACCCTGCGAATCAACATCATACAACCGCCTTCAACCTCCGTATTCTCGATGTGCCCCATCCCGTCTCACTTGGGAATTTGAATGGGGTACCTGGCAGAGACGGCCGAAGCCTGACAGCCACTCGGCACAATAGAAAGCCAATATTCTACCAGCCACGACATCCGCAGGACACAGAGGTGGGTGGCATCATTGTTCGGGGCGGCATGCTTGATGTTCCCCGCACCGAACCATTTTTCAGCAGTTCGCTCCTTGATCGCTTCAACCCACTGTTTGGTGTCATCGACCTCCCCTCCCCGTTTATTTCCAGTGAATTGATGCCCCGGCAACGCATTGGGAAACAAACTCTTGTTCTTGACAAAGTACGCGAGCGAAACAAATTTCACCAACACTTGCTTCTCCAAATGTAAACCGGTGACCACCCCGTCCTCAATCATTTCGGAGCCCAGGGTCTTCACAAATTGTTGGTTTTCGGCATTCTTCGCTGACTCGAAATATGATTGGAACATGAAAAAAGAAGTCAAGCCAAAAAACGTAGGAGTAAAGTCAGTGCCGTTGAGCATGTATGCGGCAATCACCGGCAAGCACCTCTGCAAATCGGTGAACGAATGCGGCCAATTCGCCATTTTGGTCAGGGCCTCGAAAAGCTCAAGGACGTCGATGCAGTTAACGACGGCTTCATCATTCAACCCACTCTGTTGTCGCACGACCAGTCGAACTCTTTTAGTGTGCGGGTAAAGGGCATACGCGAGAAGGGCTGCTACCCACCGTGTCGACAGATACTACCTCTACCCGAACGGGTTGTGTCTCCACTTTCCTCTCCCGGTTGCTCTCTGGGTGAAAGCACCGCATGTTAACCCCAAAGGCCTGTGCTGTCCACGGAATGGCCGCCTGGTAGCTGTCGCTGAACTCACCAGCGACTTCCCGCACGGCAAGCAGGTACAGGACACGAGCTACGCCCTCTGTCAACACCGCAGGAGTGTTGCACCCAAGCTTCAGAGCGCCCTCGACTTCTGTTGCGGAGTAAGCTTGCAGCGTACAGTAGAAGCCACAGTACTCAGAGCCGCTGATGAATTCCTGCATGTGTACTATGGCCGCCCGGATGACGGCCACACAAACCGACAGAGATAGCCCCAGCGCTTGGTCAGGGGTTTTGCACTTGGCACCAAAAAACCCCAACGCAACGGCGTTGAAAAAGCAAGCGTAATTGCCGCGGGTCTTAAAGGTATTCCCCTGCCCCCTCCGTCTGCGCTGTCCGCCCCGTTGAGCAGGGCTTGAGTTGTTGCATCCAGCACATGGGTCGCCTCAACAAGCCCTCGTATCCCTGGACAAAACCACCGGAGAAGGTTGTTGAAGCTAGGCGCGACGGTTGCGTTCCTGTTTGCATCGCGTCTTTCCACCGTGCATCCTATCGCACGTGCACGATTAAAGTTTGCAGAGAAGTTCCTTACTCAACACACACGATTTGAAGACACATTACCCACGCCCACTTAGTGCTTCGTTATGATGATTTTGACTAGTCGTGCTCGACAAACTACGCGTGGTCATCGGTGTCGTTCGTCCTGGGAGTAAATTGAAAACGTTGGGTGGAGGAAATTAATTTTCTTCATAACGTTCGACGGGGTGATACACCCCAGGGGGAACAGGAGAAAAGGGGCCCCTACGGAAAAAAGTTGTAAGAGCGAGAGTTGAGGAGGAAACGAAAGGGGGACAATATGTGGGGAGCCTTGGCCCTGTCATCTACGCCCCAACGCACTTGTCGTGCCAAACGCCGGTCTCGTCCCAAATACAGATGGATAACGATGTAGTCTAGACGCGCTAGATCTAACGCCTTTCGATGTTCGGAGCAGTTGTGAAAATCGCCCAATGTCATTATTCGGGGATGCTACGGCATAAGGCCAGGCTACGATCCCGACGACTATAGTAACATGGCTAGGTCGGCAAAAACATGCCCCCCGGCTGCCGCATGCCGCTAGCACGTCTGGTACTCCTACCGGTAGGATGACGTCCGTATCGTCGCTGCCCAATACCAGCTTGAAGCTCAAAGCGTGCTCGACGACATCCGAGCATGCTCCGAGTACCAGACCGTCTTCCATTGTACCGCTAGAGAGCATTGCATCGATACTTTCCCTCATACTCTCCAAGAATACGAGGTTTGCCTGGTCATCCGCGAACGCGTTGTCATCCTTCGATGACATGCCCGGTCCTANTCTTCCATTCTACCGCTAGAGAGCATTGCATCGATTCTTTCCCTCATGCTTTCCAAGAATAGGAGGTTTGCCTGGTCATCCGCGAACGCGTTGTTATCCTTCCATGACATGCCCGTTCCTGTTCCGAGCCCCACGCGCTTCTTCCGGCTGAGCCCCATCCTGGTACATAGTACACCAGCAGCTTGTCATTTAGGGCGGGATACGTTGATGCCTGCAATCTACATGAAACAAAGTCCGTGTTACTAGATCGGGAGGTGGAATAGTTTTTTGTGGTAGTTGCACAAAAGTACCTGCAGTAGGCTCGTGCGTCTGCTACCGAAGAACGGGGGGCGGTCCATCATCACCAGCTAGAGAGGGGGGTGGTATCCATCATCATTCGCTGGAGGGGGGGGTGGTGTCCATCATCAGCTAGCNGTTGAAAAATTCCCCGGCTTGTGCTGCTGCTGCTGCTGATTGTTTGAACAGGACGCTTCCGCCACCGCTTTAGATAACAGAAAACAGCAGCAGCAGCAAACGCGACACACCCTCTCGCCCACAATGAGTGCAGAATCTGGTATACACTTCCAGAGACATTTGTAAGCACTGTGTAGCTGCCTCGAGGGTGCCTGACCATTTGAACACAACGTGGTGCAATCATCCCCCTTGCGCGGAGTGAGGGTTCTCCACCTCGCACAACATGATCTACTCGACCACCGTTCATAATGGTTACAGCCAAAAACCAAACAGAAGTGAACAATCCGAGAACCTGGTTGCCGAGCTCACAACGTGACTTTGTTTGTCTGACAACATCGCTTCTAAGCGAGGAAACCGAACCCCGATGGCAAACACCGGGGGGGGCGGTGTACTCATTGTCGTGCATGCCGTAGTCGCTAGACCATTGACCTCGCATCCCTACAAAGCCGGGACGGAGCACGCCGGGTTCTCACCGGACCAGGCTCTCACATCACCAAGCGCGAAGCGCCGTGAGGTATTGGGCGAGTGGCATGAAGGGTGCGCTGCATCCTGCTAGTCTAAGGGCGTTCGGCATCTTGTGCTTACTTCCTTGCGTACGGATGACAGCTGCGTGTGACTTAATATATTTTCTGGTGTTCACTTCCAGAGACAGCAGTTGTAAGCACCGTGTAACGCGTCGAGGG